TTTCTTGCTAACTAATCAGGCGAACTGATAATATTATAAATCATCTCATCTCAGGCAATCAGTAGTATGCGGTTCCCTGCAAATATGCTTGCTCTATTAATGACCGCTCATTGGAACCAAACAGTCACATATTGTGATGTGAATAATTCCCGTTTTGAAAATTTATTGTGCTGAAATCTCACCTCTAACTGTTTAAATTGCAAAAAGGATTAATTTGAAAATTTCGAATTTGATTTAACGTGTCACCAGTTCTCTGAAGTAGTTGACGAGAAATCTGGTGGTTTGAACAAATTCACTTCTCTGAGGTAAATCAAATCAAGTACACCCCTGATCTGCTAGGCCAAAGATGGGCGAAATAGTCGTCCAGTTTTCAGATCATTTCCATGTTCTGGCAAGCTAGCCAGTACATTGGTTGATTCCATTGTGAAGAAAATTGATTTTGATAAATTCCACAGCGTTGTTATACAGTAATATATTACTCATGATGTTTCGAGCACAATTTATCCCCAGTGATAATCATATTAAACTACCTTATTCTAATTTCATTATTGTTTTTAATCTATTGATTTGATTAGTAGTATTATATTGCATATTTCCGGTATGAATGATGAGTCATTCCTATGAACAACGTTTCAGTAATCAAACAATCCCTTCATATACTTATATTACTTTTTAGAATTTTAACCCTCTCCCACCAACCCTATTGTGTGACTGTGTGTTGATGCATGCAGTGCAGTTGCTGTGCAGTTTTTTCTAAATTACTTGTCTACACAGGGCCAGTCATTCTAGGCCTTAGTTAAATTCTTATGTTCTGACAATCTGGTTAGAACCCACTCACCCAACTATCGGTTCCACTGATATAGTTGACAGTCATTGTAAGGTATTCTGTATATAATATTATTTCGTCTAATTGAGTCAACCCACAGGGTCTTTTAACCTACAAAGCTTGTCCAACCTGAGTGAGTTTATAGGTTTGAATGCCACCACTCTAATTCCTGCTTTATAGAGAATCCTACGTAGGATCTCAGATGTCCCCTCGTTATATGGTAAAAAAAACTGTAGATGCCTTATATCCTCTTTTATTTATCTTACTATTATAAGTTGCACCATTATTTTCATCTTGCTCCTAACCTTTTGGTGCTTTTAATCAATTTTATAAGATAATTAGTGTTACTTAGCACCAAAGCTTCTTTTTCTATCTGTTTTATTTCGATATTTAGGTCTTTTCTTGTACTACTTAGTGCTATTGCTCGGTTCGTTAGACACTTAAATAAACCTGCCTTTACAGACAAGGGGTGAGATGAATTAAAGTCTAAGTATCCAATATTAGAATGCGTTGAATTTTTATAAATGCTAGTGTACAGTTTATCTTCTTCCTACATTCGTTTTACTTTACAGTCTAACATGAAAGCTAATTCTCCTTGTCCATTTTCTGATATAAATGTGAATTGTGTTCCCCATACCAGTGAGTTTATATATATGTGTGTGTGTGTGTGAAGAAACTAGAGAGAAAGTGTCATCCATATATCTTCTCCACCATAATATTGGAGTAGGAGCAATATTTTCCCTACCAGCTATCCATAAAGATATCTGCTACGACTGGGGGATATTGTTGATCCAACCCATCACTACACCCTCTGTTTGTCTATATATATTTTGCTCTGGAATTCAAAGATGGAAGACGTGAGGCATGATTGAATTCCTAAAATGATTATCTCAATGGGTAGCTCTGGTCCTTTGAGTAAGCTCGGGATGAGCAGTTAGTTCTCTTTTAACTGCTTCTAAGGCTGTCATATTGATTGGTATAATAGTATAGAGACTAATTAAATCAAAACTAATCGATTTTTTCATTATTCTCTCACTGAATGTCATTCAGTCTCTTGTTCATTTCATATGAATTAGTTAGCCCAGAGTTTGAGCGATATCTACTGCTTGATGTGAGTTGCATATCACTACTCATATTAGTCAGCCAGTAGTGTATAGTTTAATGGATTTCAGAGACATCAAAGGAGGGGTAATGCATCTGTGTCAGTCACATTGATTTTGAGCCATACAACTAATAGTCTCTCAACTATCGCATCTTAGCATCTCGGTGACTCCAACTAGGCATTATCCTTCTACATAACTGGTGAGATCATATTAACTCTCAAAGACTTCCTGAAGTGATTCTATACTTTGATGCGATCACTTCTAACTTGTTTCTGAGGCAACACTTTGTCAACTAGAACTACTCGACTACGAAAGCGATGGATCAGCATGTAGAATATGGAAAAAGTTAAAATTTCAGCACCAGTAAACACCAACGGATTATTGACCCTGAATGGACCGAACACATGACAAAGGTGATTTTCTCGCATAAAATAGATATATTCATGAAAATAATCAACTGGAAGGCATGAAACTGTTACACAGTGGACCCTTCTCTGACGTGTAACACAAATACCACTTGGATTTGAATGAGAGTGTCAATGGATTAATTTTACCACATCCCATGCATGTAATAACCTACGTCTTCTAGCCTTAACAGAAACCTCAATCTCTCCTTAACTTAACTCTAATGTGAAAATATCATTAAACTAACCATATTCTAGCTCAAATCAATACTAATGCCGTCCTTATTAAATTGATCTAACCCTAACCTGTTCTTAGGTAGAACATTGACTGAATCTAACCCAAACCCAACCTGAAACTTTCGAGATATCCTATTCGACTGACTGACTGACCGATTTGTTTCAACGGAGAACTTTGCATGCATGTGCACCAGTCTCAATTGCCACTCTCCTTTCATGTATCATACAAGGCAAGGGAAGGGTGTAGAGAGCGACAATAAACAGAAATATGAGACAAAATGAATAGTGGTGTAGAAAAACAATATAATTTTACTATATATTGTAAATCGTAAGGATGAATGCATCTAAGCCAGCCAATGACAACGAAGATTTCGACCCGGCCAAATCACCAATTGTCTCCCCCTGCCATTGATTCTCACGATCCCGAGTGCCCCATCCAGTCAGTCAGGAAGTCTACACTTCCCTACGTGGCAGGCTGACTGGATGGCTTAAAGTAACTGTTATGCATTTGATTGAATGACAAAACCATGTATTGGTTTGACCTCCACTGGCTGGCTCTTTTCTAGCGTGAGCAATCCTGTGTCAGTCAGCTAACATTGCCATTGTCGAGGAAGATGGTCGATGTGTAGGAATGCATGTGTTACACATGTCCTTGCCATTTCAATAGATGTAACTTGACAACCTCATCGATTGATTTTCCCTCTTCACCTAGCACTCACTTGACGACTAATCTCACCACTGGTCACCTTATTATAGCACCTAACATGGGAGATAGAACGCACACACCTATGATCAAAGACAGCTAGTGTTTTCATGCATTGTGTCTTCAGCGACCATGTCTCATAGTCTTAAAGAAGGACGAAGTGAAGTGCTGAGCAGTACACACGCCTTTTCATCGAAAGCCGGCCATTCGGATATCACGTCTACGCCAGAAATGGAATAAGTTGGCATATACCAAGTGAGCCTTCTGTATGAGTGGTGAGATTTCATCAGCGATCAACCCATCGGCACTGGCGGTTGCAACTTCCCAAGTAAGTGAAGTGGTCAACATGCTCTACACTCCACTCCCTATCTGCAAGCTAAGAGTCATTGTATTCCAGTCCCGCAGCATTATCTTACATTCAGCGGGAGTGAATCGCTTGTCAATCATTCAAAGATCGCTACTCAAGGTGATTAGAAGACTCTGCATTGTAACTGCGTTAATTCGTGGTATAGAATTACACTTAACCATTGACTTCAATGAGCGGTGACTTCACCTTGATATGGCGATGACCACTCAGTACAGCTTCAAGACACCCATCTAGTAACTATCAATGAACTTATTATTTCCTTTAATTCCTAGAGGAACATAGGGCTTTAGTCACACGTTTCCTTTGCGTTCGGTTCTCTGCTAGAGTTTTCACCTGGCTAGAAGTCTGTTCACATGCTTTCATCTCTCTTCACATGACCTCCTCCAAGTCACCCTTGAACGAACAACTCGCCTCTTCCCTTTCGGGTTCCACTCGATTTCTTGATGGTTGACTCGCTTCCAGAGATCACTGTTGCTGATCATTTCTGGCCATCTGATCTTGAGTAGTATTGAGCTAAGATAGCTGTAAATGAAGGTCTGTAATTTGTTTGAGATGCTCTTTATGACGAGTATTGCAAGTCTCTGTTCCGTAAAGTACCACTGACTGACTTCACATTGGAGTTGAAAATCCGGACCTTATTTTTGACGCTGAGTGCTGTTGATCTCCACACAGACTTGAGAGTGATGAAAGCTTGTCTTGCATTTCCGATTCTTGCTTTGATATCCTCGTCAGTTCTTTCAGGTTCCTCCCATTTATGCTGATTGTTGTCTGTTGTTGTTGTTGCTGTTGGTGTTGGCCAGGAATCTTCAACCCCTCTGTTTTCTCTATGTTCACTTAAACTCCTTGATGTCTTTGATGCTTCTTCTGCCAACTTGTTGCTTTTCATCACTTGCATATCTTCCAGTTTGTGGGAAATCAGACATATATATCATCGGCGAAGTCCAGATCCTCCAAGTTTTTTTATGTGGATCCATTTTATGCCTGTTTCCTCATTGTCCGCTGTCTGTCGCATTATCGGGAAAATCATGGGCGGTAGTAGGCAGTATTGTCTTACTTCCATCCTCATTTCGAACTCTAGACAGACGTTTATATTGTAGGCTTTTTTTGGGAATCTGAATTAATTTTACTGTGGATTTCCTCACGAACCAGCCGAACGTCTCCATTGCGCTCGGTTCTCTGCCAACGTTTTCATCACCTGACTACACCTCTGCCCCTCTGCTTTCATCTCCACGTCACCTTTAAACAACCAACTCGCCGCCTTTTACGATTTCTTAAAAAACCCATATTCATGAATATTAGTATAATCGTCCACAACATAAATGAAAGCAGAAATGTGTACATTCCATATATTCCAGCTTACCTTGTCTATTTCAGGCGGTAGAATTTGAGTGATTAACAGTTTTAGATAGCTTCTATGCCCTGAGTAATGTCCAGATTTGAATGCACGTATTTGTTTCTGAAAAATATGCAAAAAAGGATTATGACAAAAATTATTTGAAGAAAATATGTTTATTTGTTTTCCCTTCCGATTGGCACCACAGGCTTCAAGCTGTAGTTTTGAAATTACAGTAATTACAGTGATTTCATGAGGATGCTAGCTAGCCTCACAACGAACCTTCCCTCTTTACATGGCTTATTAAGATGTAAGTGAGGTTTTTTTAAAAGCGCCGCGGCCAGGTATCTAACCTTGACCATGTGCGTCGTTGGTGAGGATTTTACCGCTGTCCCAACAATGAACCCTATATATATATATATATATATATATATATATATATATATACGAGTTGATCACGGATTGATATCAGTCAGAGAACCATTGAAAACCAGCTGGTAGTACTGAACAGCTGCCGTTTCATCCTAGTTTTGGGAATCATCAGCAGTACGCAGCCACTTGGATTTGCACCCAGGATCTCCGGTTACAAGTCAAGCTGGCTCGTATACCATTCAGCCACTCGGACCTAATTCAATGGTTCATGAATTCCAACTTCTGCCAATTCGTGAATTGGCGCGAGCCCAAACACTGTCGTTCGTGGGACATCCATCCGATGATTCGGAAAACTAGGATGAAAGAGCAGCTGACCAGTACTCCTAGCTGGTTTTCAATGGTTCTCTAACTGATATCAATCCATGATCAACTCGTAAAAACATAACTAACCCTTAAAAACCAAACGATAGAATATATATATATATATGGTTTTTAAGAAATTATATCCGACTTGGGAATCGAATCATAGGTGTGAACACACTAAATAATTATAGTATTAAATGCAATTAAAATATTTGTGATTATAATCATAGTTTAATGTAAGGTGGCAAAATATTTAACGTCGTATATAGAATAATTCATAGGATGGATAGAACGTGAAAAAAGAGTGTGCAATTATAGGATTGGTAGACAAATGGTATTAAATAAAAAAGTTACGCAATAGTGTATGCAAATTATTATTATTATTATTATTATTATTATTGTATCCCTTAGTTCCTAGAGGAACATAGGGCTTCAGCTGCGCACCTCCATTGCCTTCGGTTTTCTGACAACTTTTTCAACCTGCTCCAAGTCTGTCCACATGCTTTCATCTCCTCCTCATATGACCTCCTCCAAGTCACCCTCGCACTGACGACCAACTCGCCGCCTCCCTTTCGGGTTCCACTCGAGGGCTTGTCTAGTGATGTCACTTGATGGTTTCCTCAGCGTATGGCCAATCCATCTCCATTTCTTTCTGCCTATTTGTTTCACAATCGGTTCCTGGTTGGTTCGCTCCCAGAGATCCCTGTTGCTGATCTTTTCTGGCCATCTGATCTTGAGTATTGAGCGGAGACAGCTGTTAATGAAGGTTTGAAGTTTGTTTGAGATGCTCTTTATGACTCGCCAAGTCTCTGATCCGTATAGTAGCACTGACTTCACATTGGAGTTGAAAATCCGGATCTTATTTTTGATGCTGAGTGCTGTTGACCTCCACACAGATTTGAGAGTAATGAAAGCTTGTCTTGCTTTTCCGATTCTGGCTTTGATGTCCTCGTCAGTTCCGCCTGTAGTTGAGACGATGCTTCCCAGGTAGGTGAAGGAGGTTGTTTCTTTCAGGTTCTTCCCATTTATGCTGATTGTTGTCTGTTGTTGTTGTTGCTGTTGGTGTTGGCTAGGAATCTTCAACCCCTCTGTTTTCTCTATGTTCACGTGAAGTCCTATCTTTGATGCTTCTTCTGCCAACTTGTTACTTTTCACTTGCATATCTTCCAGTTTATGGGAAATCAGACATATATCATCGGCGAAATCCAGATCCTCCAAGTCTGTTTTGCGTTGGTCCATTTTATGCCTGTTCCCTCGTTGGTTGCCGTTGTCTGTCGCATTATCCAATCAATTGCAATCAGGAAGATCATTGGTGATAGTAGACAGCCTTGCCTCACTCCCGTCCTCACTTCGAAGGCTTCCGTAAGTTTCCCGTTGTGGATTACTTGGCATGCAGCATTGTCGTATAACTGTTGGATGAGATGTATAATTGTCGATGGGACCCCGTAGTAGCGAAGTAGTTTCCAAATCACCTCTCGATCGACGCTGTCGAAGGCCTTTTCAAAGTCGATGAAGTTGAGGTAGAGAGGTGACTGCCATTCCAAGCTTTGTTCAATGATGATCCGTAGAGTGGCGATTTGATCAATACATGATTTGTTTCTCCTGAATCCAGCCTGTTCCGGACGAAGTTTTTCATCTAGGGCTTGTTTGATTCTCTCCAGGATGATGCGACTTAGTATCTTGCTTGGAATGGACAGAAGCATAATTCCACGCCAGTTTTTACATTGACTTAAGTCTCCTTTCTTTGGAAGTTTGAATAAGTATTCGTTCTTCCAATCCTCGGGTACTTTGCCCTCTTTCCACACCTTCTCCAGCAGTGGTGTCATCAAGTCCGCTGTTGTCTCTGGGTCTATTTTCAAAGCTTCTGCTGGGATTCCATCTGGTCCCGGTGTTTTCCCAGCTTTAAGCATCTTGATTGCATTCAGGACTTCTGATTTCGTCGGGGGGTCAGTGTTCACTGGTAGTTCTGCTTCCGTTGTTGGTATTGCTGGGCGTGTTGTAGGTGGCGGACGATTTAGAAGTCTTTTGAAGTGTTCAGCCCAGTGCTTTCTCTGTTCCACCTCTTTGGTGATTGACTTTCCATTGTCGTCCTTTATTGGCTTAATCTGTGTCGAACGTTTGCCCGAAAGGTTCCTAGTTGTTTGGTAGAGTGTGGCGAGGTCTCCTTTGCCTGCAGCTTGTTCTGCTTCGTTTGCCATGGTTTCATAATATTTTCTTTTGTCTTCCCTGGCACTCTTCTTCACTCTTTTGTTCAGTGTATTGTAGCTTGCATTCAGCTCCTGTTTTTGTTGCTCGTCAGTGCACTGGATAATCTTTTGTTTCACTGTCCTTCTCTCTTCTATTAGTTTCCAATTTGATAACATAAAATTCAACTTTGCAAGACAGAAGTGATTTAGAATGACAAGTAGAACAAGTGAAATAATACCGGGGACAGTTTGAAACGAGAATAGTAATAATAACAATTGACATAATAAAGGAAGAGTATACAAACTGAATAGACAGTACGAAAAAATAGGTATAACCAAAATAATGAATAGGGATTAACACACTTTAGCATGGAGGGATGTTGGAGGGGTTGAACGAAATTTTTCTGTATACAGAGCTCCGGCTTTTCTGTTTCGATGGCCAAAGATGGATCCATAAATACAGATGAGTCGGATACGTAGTGATTTTTGGCAAAATTCTTTTCACCCTTTAGATGACTTTGAAGGCGGAGGCTATAGAGATATGGTCATCATTATCAACCAAATGGTTAGTGATCTCACTTCTTACGCTCCCCTTCCACCTCTTCGTAACCATGCAGGATAATAATCTTGATATAGTTGCGTATTTTCTGAGCTGAATGATTTATTTGCGAGGCTTCCATTGCCTTGCTAGGCAACATCTTCAGCGCAAACTTCAATTCGTTTGAGTGAGATTAGATTAGATTTCTCCCTAAGTTTATGAGTCATCTCTCCTGGTAATCTTGAAAGTGATCAGTTTGTTTTAGTGTATTCTTACACCCCCTTGGACAAAACTTGAGTCGAACGACCAATATATCTGGCTCCACACGAGCAAGTGAGCTGGTAAACACACTTAGAGTTGGTCCTTCAGATTACTGAACAGTACTGCTGAAAACACTATTCTCAACGATGCAGCAGGGAATGTCCTTTTCAGAGACGGTGTAATCCTTCTTTTAATTTAACCTTGAATTCCAAGCTCGTGTAAGGTATTTTCTAGATTGCGAGTGATAAGTTATATTTCACAGGATTTGGCTGTATACTCTTGCCTATTAGACCTACTGGAAATCCATTTCTTATTAAGATTTTTCTCAAAGCATGTAACCCTTCTTCCACACTATCAGGACTACATATGCGCCGAATGCGAGCGGCAAGCAACCTGATCAGGATTCGTTTTCAACTAATGGGTATTCAGCTGTAGAAATTTGTCACTTAAGCATTCCATGACAGCTTCCGATAAATCGATCTCTTCAGAGTTCCATCGATCCTCCTTGATAAGTTCACAATGAGGAAATAAATACTACTAGACTAGCTCTCCATTTCGAGTGTGAATTTTGTCACTGGATAGCCACCACTGAATGAATTCAATATATTATTATTCAAATTATAATCACTAATACAAATAATAAAGGTGTCATCTACTGATTTCAACTGACCATTTTCTAGAGTGGCCATAAAATAGTTTACAAGGAAAGGACTCAAGGAAGAAGCCATCGCAGTACTATGCTTCTGTCTGTATATTGTTTCACTGAAAGTAAACTGTACATTCAGTGTGCATCTCAAAAGTGGTTCTTTCAAAACTCCAGTGGGTATGCTTATATTAAACTTGTTGTCTTCAGTGTATTTGCATATAAAGTCTATAGTTTCTGTCAGTGGAACATTCGAAGATAGGGATTCTATATCCAAAGACAACATATGTTTATTCGAAGCATTTGTATCCTGTATATATTCAACAAAATGAAGATTGTCCCAAAGGGAATGATTAGATAATTGTTCCCTGACAGGTTCAAGGATTTCAGCTAACCATCCAGCTACTGGATGATAAGGGGATCCATACATACCCAAGATAGGGTGGAGTGGAAGGCCAGCTTTTTGTATCTTTGGTAGACCATAAACTTTTGGCATTATAGATCCTGTTGGTCTGATCTTTTCGTGCAGTTCTTCACGAAACAGATGATATTTCTGCATTCTCTTTAAAGCTTCGGTAATCTGTAATCTTTGCACCGCATAATAACAACACCTGCAACCTTGTCATGGAATGTCAATAGTATATGTCTGTTATGTGTCCATAGTATAAGCCCTTCCTCATGCTGTTTTGTCAGAAGACTTGGCATGTTTGGTTTGGCGTTAAGGCATTGGTTGCAAGAATCAGTGGTGGTAGATTCGAAG